TGGGTTGTTATTTCGTTCGAAAACCCGCGAGTGTTTTCGAATTCGAATTCGAAAAAAAAAATTTACCGAATAAAATTATCGCATTAAAAACTTTAACGCGGCATTTAAAAGTCGTTTGTTTAATTAACAACAAACAAACAACCGAACAAACATAACCATTTAAAAATTTTTTTCCCGATCGATTTTAAACGTGATTGAATGCGTTTTGTCGTTTTCATTCATTCATTCTCAGCATTTTATGGGAGAAGGGGGGGGGGGAAACCCGAACGAACGAATTACGCGCGCGTATTCTTTGTTTGTTTGTTTGTTTTAAACGCGCGTTCTTCCTACGAATACATAATTCGTTTTATTATCACAAATGTTTCAAAATATTTCTAACGAAATTTTTAAAACAACTTTCTTTTTAATATTTGTCAATTTCAAATCCATTTTTTTTTTCGGTAAGAAACTCGAAAATGGTTTTTACGCCATCGTATAAAATAAATAAAACGCTTGCGTACGTTTGTTTAATGAATACGCGTTATAATGTGATTAAAACGTTTAATAACGGACGCGCGTCTTTCATTTGTTTGTTTGTTTGTTTGTTTGTTGTTTTATCTGCGTTTTATTGCAGTGCGAATAATTTTAATAATAATAATAATTACGCATTCGTATAAAAATCATATTAATATGAGTAACTCAAATTTTTTTCTATTTTAGGTTCATAAATTTATCTTCGGAGAAATTTTCATAAAAATGGTGACGTCATGAAAAAATTAACACAAACATAAAAATTACAATAATGATAATAATGATAATCGTGAAGATTTTTTTACGGATCGAAATCAAATCGAACGTGATATTATTAATTTAATAAGTGAATCGAAACAAAAAACTATTAATAATAATAATAATAATAATAATAGCAACAAAATGAAAACGGAAACGATTTGGTCTTTGATAATTTTCCTATGGATTCGTACTTGGGCTTACGGAGAAACAAAAGTGAAAAATTCAAATTCACCAACCGGAAATTCAATAACGACACAAATGAAAAATTTAATTGCCATGGTAAGCGACTCTTTTTTTTTTTTATCTTTTTCATTTGTTTACATTACCGGATTATTATTATTATTATTATTATTATTATTATTATTATTACGGTAATAAACAAACAAACGAACAAACAAAGTATTTTCTCAATTGTTCGACAAACGACCTCCCTCCCCTCGTTCCCTCCCCCTCCACAAAAAAAAATTAAATTTGGAAAATTTTTTTTTTTGTAAAATTATTACCCGGGTAATAAAACTTTCTATTATCATTATTATTATTACCGTATTAATAAAAAAAAATTACCGGCGTAATAATAATTATAATAATAATAATAATAATTGGGGGGGGGGGTAAACAAAAGAGTGACGCTTAATAATGAGAAAAAAAAATTATTTTATTACTCGGTGGTAAAAAAAAAAAAACCGTAAAAGAATTTCAATGTAAAAAAGCGGTAAAAAAAATTTTTGCTATTTTCTACGGAAGACAACAACAAACGGTTCGAAACGTTACCAAACAAACAAACAGCAAACAAACGAAAAAATAATAAAATATAAAAAAAGAATAATAATCGCAACACATTTTTCCGATTGAAAATTCGACGAAAAAATTTTTTTTTTTTGTAACGTACAATCATCGCGATAAACAACAACAACAACAACAAAAAATGTTTGTTTTGTAATAATTATCGTAATAGGAACAACTTTTGTGATTTTTTTTTTTTTTACAAATAATTACTGACAAACGTCGTTTGTTTTACGAAAAACTAGTTTTTCATATATTTTTTTTGAGATCAGTGTCAAGGTTTTTAAGGACGGCATTCAAAATTTTTATATACATATAAAAATTTTCTCGCTTACGTCATAAAAGTAATTTTTAAGTAATAGATGTACTAATATTTAAATGATTAACCACCTCCCAAAAATTACTCGGCCGAAAAAAAAAAAAAAAAAATTATTAGTCAATAAAAAAAAAAAAAATTTTGACTGCGTTGCAATAATTGTTTTGTAATTTTTATTTTCTGCCGCGTAATAAAAAAAAAAAAAAACAAACAAACGACAAACACTGTGAAAACAAAAAAAAAAATTTTTTTTTAAACAACATCCGGAAGGGATTTAAATGCAACAAACGGGATCTAACAACCTGGTAAAAAGTATAACGAGAAAAATATGAAGCTGGAGTTAAGAAAACTGGAGCTGGAAAAAAAGTAAACGATTCGAGAGACTGATAATAACACGCGCACACGCACACACGCACACGCATTGATTTTATTGTTTACATTTAGGCGTTAAATTTTATTAAACAAACAAACCGAAATGTTAATTTTTAAAAAAACCCGGAAGTGAAAAAAAAGGAGGGGTTTCGATCAATCGATCATTCATTCATTCAATCATTCAATCAATCAATCAATCAATCGTTATTTTCATTTTTCGGTGAAAGCTCTTCGATAAATAAATAAATAAATAAATAAATTTATCAATTAATACCTCGTAAAATTATTTTTTTTCGGTCAAACGATTTTTATTTTCTTATCAAATTATTTTTAAAAAATTTTCACTTTATCATCATCATCATCATCATCATCATCATCTTCATCATCATTATTATTATTATTATTATTATTACAACTACTTGTTTTTTTTTTTAATAAAATTTTACGAAAAAAAAAAAAAAAATTGTTTCGATAAGCCTCAACACAAACAATAAAGTTATTAAATTATTTTGTTTCTTTTGATAAGAGCACGAGAGGGGGAGGGGAGGGGAGGGGTGAAAGGTCACGAAACCTTTTATCTAATTAGAACGAAAATGATGTTAATATAAGATGCCGAAATTTAATTAAATCGTTTACGAAATTAAATCGCGTGCAACCTTATTCAACATCATCATCATCATCATCATCTGTATAGGCACGGGTTTTCGGTGGAAATTTGGAGAAATCACGTGATGGGTACACGATCCGGATAACGCTATGTCGTGCCCACCACGATGATGATGATGATGATTTCACCGATTGAAAAACGTAAACAAATGTTATTTTTTTTCGTCTGGAATAAAAACAGACGATTGGCAAACATGAAAAAATTCAAACGTGATAAATGACTAGAGATTTAATAATTTATCGTGTGAATAAATAAATAAATAAATAAATAATTTGTTTAATTTTCGATTTGAAAGAATGACGAAATGACAAAAAAAAAAAATTTTTTAAGGGGCCTACTTAAAAATCTCGATGCAAATTTTTTTTATTAACCTTTTGTAAATATTTATTTTTATCATACGTAAGGGGAAAAAAAGGCGGGAAAATTTTTTAAATATTAAACACACAAGCGCGAAATCGTTTTGAAATAAATTATTACGTAATAATAATAATAATAATAAGTTTAAATAAAAAATTTTTGGGTTATGCGTATGATAATTCTATCGGTTTTTTTTTTATTTTTTTATTACGTTGGTAATTATTCGTAACTTTCTGAACGTACTTTTAACTTTCGTTAAACCGGATATCATACCTCAAAGAATAATTCCGGAAAATGATAAAAAACAAATTGAAGTATTACCGGCGGTAAAAAGGCTGGAATGTGGAAAAAAAAATTATAAGAAGTAAATAACGGAAATGTGACGAATTAAAACGGAAACGATATCGATGAAGGAAGCACCGGAAACCGTATTACAATTTCTGAAACCGGAAAACTTAAAACCGGATATTCCAGCATCCATACACATCTAAACACTCAAACACAACCCTGAATAAACAATACATATTATATATAAATTCCAAAAAAAAATTAAGTTAGCTGGAGAAAAAAAAAATTTTTTTACAATTATATAAAACTTGCCGTCATTAAAAATAGTAATAATAATAATAATAATAATAATAGTAATAATAATAATAAATTAAAGAAAAAAAAATTCTAGAACTTTATGATTGGATACAATAACAAATAAATTATTATTATCACGTATGGTTATCTATTACGAATGATAACGATTGTTTGTATTATTAGTTAAATTACACCGGAACTCGTCATAAAAAAATATTAATAATAATAATAATAATAAGGATTTCCATAGTAAAAACGGCAACGTTGCATTTCTTTTCTCCAATTCAATGAATAATATTCGATTTTTTTTTATAATTCATAAAATTATTACCGACTCCGACATAATCGTGAACTTTGTTTTTTTTTGAAATGATGATGATGATGATGATGATGATGATGATTAAACACGATCGAACCATATCGAATTTAATTAATAGAACAAATTAACCCAAATTAGTTTTTTTTTATTAAAGCGTAAAAAAAAAAAAAAATTAATTTAAATTATTACGTAAAATTAATTTTATTATTTTTACGTGTGATAATATGTCGGTTAGCGTTTGACAAAATCAACCATTTTGTTTCTTATAAACACGACTCCTCGAATTGTTATTATTATTATTATTAATAGTAATAATAATAATAATAAATCGAACCTTATATGGTTGCTTTGGGGGAAAACAAAATATTTTTTAATTAATGCCTTCCGACTTTTTCTCTCTCTCTCTCTCTCTCTCTCTCATTCTCCGACTCATAAATTTTAATAAAAAGCTAATAATGATGATGATAATAATAAATGTTGAGACGCGTTCACATAAGGGGGAAAAAAAAAAAATTATTATTTATATTTAACCGGAACCGGATGTCCTTCGAAAAAAATAAAAATAAAAAAATTTCCTTTTTAAGAAAAAACTTTCACCGAAATAAATTTTAAAAAAATATTTTTTTTTCTTCACGCCCCCTTCCCCCTTCCCTCCCCTTTTCCTACCCTCTCCAAAATTTTTATTTTTTTAAACTTTTTACTTCCAGCGACAGAAAAATGAAAATTTTTTTTTTCGAAACGGCGACAAAAACCTAAAAATTTCCCACTCGAGAAAGAATTAATGTAAAATTAATAATAATAATTGTAACACTTGAGAAAATTTTGATAAGATGTCGATGATAACTGAGGTGAATGACCTAATAATATTTGAAAATACCGCCAAAATTTTACGGAAACGAACGTTTCGCGTTCGATATTTACACGGCGGAAATGATCGACGACAACGCTTTGAATTATTATTAAAAAGAAAAACATATTCATTTTATTTTTTTTTTTGAAATCGTCTTCTACCACGTTCGTAACCTTTAATTGTTTATTGTTATTATTATTATTATTATTATTTCAAGTTTCTTCCTATTAATTTTTTAATTGTTCAAGGTGAAAATTGAACAAATTTTTTTTTTTTTTTTAAATCGATTGGGATTGATCGTAATTATATATAAAATATTTATTACGTTTTTTCAGTCTGCTTCCACGTTCACAAACGATTCATTTTACTATCCTCAAAGGGGAGAAGAATTTATAAGACGTCAAAAAATAATACCCAACACACATCCGTTTCCGTGTTCGAATTCGACCGTTTTCGGAAGATCGGAAACACGTCCGAAAAGCGTTCACAAACTTAAACCTGGTGACGTTGACGTCATCGGGGCTATGGGTGACAGTCTTATTGCCGGAAATGGAGCTTTGGAAGAATTTGCCATCGGTACTATAATAGAATATCGTGGCGTTTCGTGGTGTGCAGGTTAGATATTATGATAATAAACCATTCGATCGTGGTGTATTGATTTAAATTTTTGCTAGCAGAAATAAAAAAATACGTTTGCTATTACAAATATATATTAAAAACACCTGATCCTGAATACCTCGCATGTTTTCAGGTGGAGAAGGAACGTGGCGGCAATATTTGACGCTTCCGAACATACTAAAAGAATTCAATCCGAAAATAAAAGGTTATTCGAAAGGAAAAGGTGAATTTTTATCGAAAAATTCAGGTATGAACGTAGCATTTCCGGTATCGGCGGATGCCGATGCACTAGCTCAAGCAAAATATTTAGTTAAAAAAATGAAAAGCGATCGAGATATCGATTACGAAAACGACTGGAAGGTAATTATTTAGTGAGATAGTGTATCGTATTATTAAACGATAGCAAATTTAACGAAACGGAAATTGTTTTCCATAGATGATAACAGTTTTTTTCGGAGCAAACGATCTTTGCTCCTCGCAATGTTTTAACAAAGAAGGAACATCGGCTATACAACACAGAAGAAAATTAATGGAAGCTTTGGATTATTTACACGAAAACATGCCAAAAACTTTTGTCAATCTCATACCCGTTTTAGGTAAATAAAAAATTTTAAAATGTCGTCTTCTGCTAGTTTTTTTTGATGAAACATTTGTTTTTTTTTTTTTTCTAGATGTAACAGTTTCCGTTCGACAAAAGCGTTCCGTCATATGTCGTTTCCTTCACAGACTTTTTTGCACTTGTTTTCATACAGGAAGTGACGTCGACGAATACGATGTTATATCCCAGTTAGTGTTAGACTATCAGGAAGCCGAAAAACAACTCGTGAGTGTTTTTTTCCTTCATTTTATCTTTATCAAATCGTTCTTTGATTGTATTTCTTTTTTCTTCGATTAAAGGTACAAAGCGGACGATATGACACCAAAGAGGATTTCACGGTTGTACTACAACCATTTATGACTGCTTTTAACGCTCCTAAGGATAAATCAAAACGATACAAACCGTTTATTGATAAATCCTATATAACGTACGATTGTTTTCATTTTAGTCAAAAAGGTCACGCATTGGGTAAGAGAAACTTTTTTTTTTTTTCCTTTTTAATACATTCTTTGCGCGAGTATGCAAACGTGTGTCAATGGGTTAATGCTTTCGTCATAAAACTGCGCACTTGTCTTCATATACACGCTATTATTATTATTATTTTCATTTTCTAAACACGATCGTGTACTTGTTGGAATTTTTTCAGCATTCGTTCCAAATTTCTATCCGATTCCTAAATTCTTGAATATCGGTGGTGGTGGTGGTGGTAGTGGTATGATTCATTATGTTGCATGGGGGTCACAGTGTGATGACTTCCCACGATTATTAAAATCACTTCCGTTGTCGCTCCCAAAATCCTGGCAATTTTTTTTTTTTTTTCGGCTGCTCGAACATTTCCATTAGTTTACATTATTTGACGTTGTTTGTGCTGTTTGTTGGCTTTCAATCCTTCTTCGTCCATCTCTTCCAATCCAAATCCTCTCCAGTTTTCCAGTAAATTTATTTAAAAATTCTATCGTACCTTTTAAATTGTCTGCCAATTTCAAACACAACACCGGAAATGAAACAATCAATCATATCGTCATTTTTTTATTTTATCGTTACAGGTGCCAATATGTTATGGAACAATTTACTAGAACCCGTGGGTAAAAAATCTAAAAAACAATTAAATCACATAATGGCGGATTTTAAATGTCCGACAAATGATGCGCCATATTTTTTTACAAATTTAAATAGTGAAATTTATTTTAAACACGGAACTCAATTATACGACGACAATAACAAAAACATTTCACATTAATTAAACGCAATTAATTAATCGTTTAAATAATAATAATAATAAAAAGGTATTTAATTAAAAATAATAATAATTATTATTATTATTATTATTTATGAAAGAAAAAATTGTATCGTCGTAGAATGAACGCGTGCGGGAAAAAAAAACAATTTAACCGCATTTTCCACAATCGATTTTTTAATTTATTTACATTTAATCATTCATTCATTCATTCATTCATTCATTCACTTCGATCAAATAAACAAGCGAAATAGTAGTAATAATAATAAGAAAGAAAACAATATAGTATCAACAACAATCGTATTGTTACGTAAGCAAATAATAAGTAATAATAAGGTTCAGGTGGCTTTTGTTACTCTAATCAATTTAAATCGTGAGAAAAATATTATTATTATTATTATTATTATTAAGAGTAATAATCACTTTTCGATACGTCACGTTGGATATGATATTAATAATAATAATAATAAATATAATAATAATCGAACATTGAACGTTTTATAAACTCATTAATTTTTGATTAATTAAACAAATCGTTTATTTCCCTGCTTTAAAATTATTATTGGTATTATTATTATTGTTATTATTATTATTATTATTATTATTATTAAATCAAAGTCAAACGGTTTTTTTTTTTTAATTTTTCCCGGAAAAAACCTTTAAAAAAAAAAAAAAAATGAAATTTATGTTTAAGTTTGATAATAATAATAATAATAATAATAAAAGTTTATAAAACGACCCGAAATTTAACGAGACGTCTTTTTTTTTTTAATAAAAAAAAAAAAAAACATCCTATATAAATTCTTGGAAAAAATTTAAAAAAAAAAAAAACAATAATTAATAAATAATAATAATAATAATAATTTGTTAAAAACAAATTAGCATTGACAAGGATTTCGTATAATAATAAATTTTACGATATATCGATTTTTTATTTAAAAAACAAAAAAAAAATCGATCGATAATTTAAAATAAACGATTTTTTTTTAAAAATTCTCATCCCTTTTGTTATTACCCCCTCCCTTTCTTTCCCCTTTCTCCCCAAAAAAAAATAAAACAAAACCATTTAAAAGAGACGATAATAAAATCTCCTTATAGAAATTTTTAATAATTTTTACATTCATCCCCCTCCCCTGCGGGGGAAAAAAACCCGCGAAAAAAACGAAACGACGTGATAAAAAGTCCATAAGTTAAACATAAAAATTCTCATTAAAAAAAAAAAAACGGATACAATGCAAAAAACCTTGTACGATTATAACGATAAAAATTTTCTCATTTTCCGGAAACAT